GGAGCCGGTGGCGGTGTTGGGAGATGCGCGAAATGCCTGGCGACACCTGCTTTGGGGGCAGGACGAAGTCCTAGCTCCTCCGGTTCCTCTGCAACGACCTCCTCTTCTTCTCTGGGCACCGAATGGGATGCCTTCCTCTTCTTTTCCTTGCTCTTCTTCTTGTCTGGTTTCCGCGACGAAGTTCCGGAATGCTTCTTCCTCCTCTTCCTCTCCTTTGCCTCTTCTTTGGGTGCCTCTTCACGCTCACCCTCAACCGGCTTCTCTTCCTCTACGGCTGCAACCCCAAGCACACCAGGAGATTCCTCACTCCCGCCGTCTGCTAGGCCCAACTCGTCCTTGACCTTGATCTCTTTGGCTTCAGTAGGAGCCTCCGCAGGCCTCCCGGACCCACTGGCCGCGTCACCCACCGGGCCAGGAGCACTCCCACTCCCGTCGCCTCCAGCCGCCTGTGTTGTTGTACCTTCTCCTTCAACAGCTGCTGCCTCCTTCGCCTGCTTCCGGACACGCACGGCCTCCTCTGCCAAATCCAGAAGGGCGCCTGCACACTCACGCAGAGCAGATACCGCACGGGTCTGCTGCCCGACTAACAGGAGGCCGCCGCACTGCACCTCCCGAATGCGGCGAAGAGCTCTGCAACCTCCACAAAGGCCCTGATCGTCACCGTCGAACAGCCCACACAGGCGGCAAACCATGGAATGAGCTGAAAACACTGCGGATCCAAGCAAAAGGTTCACCGACATCTTAACCCACGGGGGCGTGAATCCATATACACAGCATATCAAAGCAAATATCAAGACATGCCAGGAGAAACGAAACGACCGCTTCTTCCCGTTTAACGCCTTATAGGACAGAATATGGAGAGATTGGTCTCTGATTCCAAGAATCTTGAGATGTCATCAGGGGAAAACAAAGCATCTATCCCTTGATGGGACTTATTTTATACAGTGGATTCAGACTAGATGGCACATGATGGCACAATCCCCAAGTTTGGTGCTTGAGTAGTTAACTAGTGGACCACTATCTATACAAACATCTTGGGGTGCCAGTGCATGGCATCGATGGCATCGATCGGATTCGATCGGTATGCCAGCACAGCGTCTCAGCACGACGGTCAAACCCAGACGCCACCGTCGCACCGTGGAACGGGGGTCAGAACGAGACATCCTTCATGCAAAAAGGTTCGGCAGTTGAGGATGTCTCGTCCTCTTGTGACCTGCTGTAGCCTAGGATCTTGACAATAGGAAACCCGTGAAGTTCACATGTATAGTTAATAATGTAGTTAACAGCGATAGGTCACGGTGACGGTTGAAGAAATCCGCACGCCACACACACTGGAACGAGAAACACATGCATGCAAATTACAGTAGTTAGCATTGCACGGAATGAGCAAGCTCAAAACAGAACAACCAAAAACACCCATGAACATCCCACAAAAACGCAAAGAAACCAAGAAAGCACCGATGGAGCCAAGCCTCTGCGGCCATTGCCTCTCCAGGCGTCATCAACACTGCCAAGGGCACAGCGCCCGCCACTGCCGGCAGCTGGCTGCCGGCCGCTGCGCGCGGCGCCGGGCCGAGGAAGGTGAGGCTACGCAGGGTCCAAGCAGCCAGAAGGAAGGTGCACAGGGTCAAAAGCGTCCTCGAAAGGTGAAAGGAACATCAGGAACATCCAGGAATCAGTGGGTCTGTTGAATCTGGGGTTCCGTGAAACATCGTTTGGGCAGCTTCTGGGCAAAGATAGGCAAAGGGTTATCTACTGTTGAGGACGAAGAACATGCTGAGCCTGCACATGAAAACCAACGTTCTCTCTGCCATGTGACGTGGCTGTGAACTTGGCAGCGCTGGAATACTTCCATCAACAACAACAATCTGGAGATCTGGGGATCTGCAAGGTTGGGACACATTGCTTGGATTTGCTGATGAATATGTCTAATACACATGATATGCATACTATTGCAACATGTATAACCTGGACAAAGGAAAACATGTTCCTTGCGATTGCCTAAAGAAGGCTTGCCAAAAGGAGATTTCCTTTTCTCGAAAAGGTATCCAACCCATTCCAACCCTATTTAACAATCCAAGCATCGAGGCGCACGCCATGAGTTTGAAGATCCCTTTTATCGGCACCGAGTTGCGTTAGAGGACCTTGAGCCAATTGCTGCCATGCAAATTGTGTTGTGGGAACCCGTCGGCAATCGCAGGCCTGGTGGAATTATGTTTCCCGCTGATTGGAACAAACATGATCAATTCAAGTGTTTCTAGCTCCAGACTTCTACAACGCTCATAGCCGCCCGCCGAGACTTTCTGAGCGGCCCCACGGGCTGTCCACTGATGATGCCACTGACTGGATCCAGCTTCAACCCTGAAGTCAGAGCCGGGTCTTTGGCTGGGCAGCTGGCAACACCCTAACGGTGTGTGCTGCCATTTTGCCACTCGTCGGGCAACGGAGTGCGGCCTGTTTAGTAGGGATGTCGGTCCAGGCGGATCAAACACCATATGGGGTGGTAATTCGAGACGATATATAATGCATCATAGATCAGAACACCTAGAAAGGATATCTCGGTTGTAGCGACTCATTGACTCCAAAGAAGATTACAAAAGTGAAGCCCCCAACGGCTTGTCTTTCCAATCTATCAACATACTACATAAACATGGAACGTGGACCTTTTCATGACGCTTGCCCTCTACAAAGGGCCATGTTCCATGTTTATGGCAGCCTGACCGAAAGGGCTTGGCAGGAGAATCTGTCCTTGTTATGAACACTCCTTCAGGAGCCTTCATTGTCACATGCTTAGACGTCTCTCAGCGGTCTGCGCCGAGGCAAAACACCTGTCGCAGGTGTGATCCAATTTCAACTTGTGTATGTGGACAGCTCTATCTGTCACTACAATGAGCCTTCATTGTCACTATACTACATGCCCAAACGCTCCAAACAGCCCTTGGTCCCTCAAAACCATAGGGATTGGTTCGGGTCCGACCCCTCCATATGAGGATCCATGGACCAACCAAAAAGCATAGCCACAAGCCACATGGACCCCATGGAGACCATCGACGGCCAACCGATGAAGCCGAACGAACACCTCAACCGGGACCACGAGGTGCCCGACGTGGAAAACATGTCCCTTGGATGATCATCTTCCTCTACAAACGGTGGTTTTCCGCTTCCATGTTACCAGTAGTGACTCGGAGTGTAAAAATGAGTCATTAGTCAATGATTTCCAGGTCCCATCGCTGCTTTTCGGGACCGTCCGCCGAGGGACTTTGACATACTTTCCGCTCATCTTGGCGGTGGTGAACGAAGAGGGCGCTGGGCAAACCGAAACCCTACACACAAGCCCAATAGCACAAGGTACTACAAGAAGGGAACCGGTAACCATACAATTCTGGTGCTGTCCGATCCAATCACTCAATTTCTTTCCTTTCCTCTTGTTCACCCCTCCCACTCCACCACCCTTCCACCCTCTTGTTCTCCACCGGCGGTTCGTGCACTTCACGACCGCCGAGGTCGCACCTGCCGGCAGGGGTGGCTCCACCTCGAAGGTGCGCGCGGAGGACGCCGACGCACCTGGCGCCGGCGGTGCTCGGACGGCGGATGCTCGGACGCCGGCGGCGGCGGTACGTATAAGCATTCGCACCGCGGGTCGCCATGTGAGACCCAAACCGGGTTCTGGGGCGCGACCCGGGGGTCAGTGTTGCTTCCGAAGTGTGGGATTGGCGCACGGCATGGGACGGTCGCTGTATACCATCTTAGCTTCTACTGATTGTCTGTGGGGGACCCGCGTGCACTTTCGGGCAGCAAAGCCGGCGAACGTCAAGATCCGTCTCCACTCTTTCTATATGATTCTCTCTTCAGACCGATGGTGATCCAGCGGACGGATGCCCCACAAGGTTTCCTGACTGCCCAAGAAATTAACTGGGTGACTGATACTGTTGCACCACCACTGGTATTAAATAAATTGTTTTGTGAAAACAATTTAATTTAATAACAGTGGTGGTGCAACAGTATCAGTCACCCAGTTTTTCATATGGGCATCTTCGAGGCATCTGATAAGAGCATCTTGGGCACAGCTCAGATGCTAGTCATTCAGAAAAGGGTCACAGCAAAGGCATGTTTCACCTCCATCAGCTTGGCCGAAAGCTTAATGTGTTGTCAAGTGGTCACACCCGCCGCCACCTGTACTGTTTTTCTCCGCGGCAGAGCTGTCAGGGATGGTCTCATGTGCACAAGACACCCAACGTTTGGTGCTTTGCAGCCAGTTGGTGGGCATCCATTCAGCGCAAGCGCTACTTTCGCAGCTCGCATGCTATTCCACAGTTAGTGCGGTCGCACCGCGAAGCCTCAAAGTTTCGAGGTCTTTTTGGGGGGCACTGGAACGACGGTAGATTGAACCGGCATTGGGCTGGCTCTCTCTTTGTCTCACCATGTGCATGTAATGATCGGAAGGCTTCTGGATCTGCTAAGACCGAACCGTTTCTCCCTGGATGGAGGCCTACCTGACCCTACCAGGTGCTCAAAACAAACATGACGCCGTTGACTTGACCCTAGACTGAGTGCATGTGTCAAATAGACTATAGCAATCAGCTGGCAACAGAATGTTCAAAAACATTGTGGTTACACATGCGAATAGAATATAGGTTTTTGAGCTTTTGACCGCTTCCAAACAACAATCTTGCTATAGTGAACTCCATGTAAGCAAATTTTTATGTATCATGCTCATCTCAAACTCCATGGAATCACTGACACATCTTGTCTGTTGAGTCAGGCCTCGAAGTTCGACGGCTTTGGACCAAGGTATCTTCTCGGGTGTGGGCTGACCACTTGTGCCACGTGTGAATCTTCCAGGAAGATGCTGACAAATGCTGACATGATGTTTGTTGAAAGTGCCTTGTTGCCACAACACCACCAGTTGATGCGGTCCCATTCATGACGTGCGGGCCCATCCCATGCCGACCAACGCTTCAACGCTGGCCGGAAACAACGACACGTGGCCAGCCCTCGGTTCAACGACCACTGCGGTTCACACTCGAGTTCAGCGTCACGTTGGTGTAGTCCACCACCTCTTCCGATGCGCAAAATTCGAGACTTTTCCAGAGACCCGCTGTCAGTCCGTCGGTGGATGGAAGAAACATGATCGAAGCCTGTCGGACAACCCAGTCTTCTGGCCGGGGGACTTCAAACAAAAGCAGAAGGAGTAGGGTAGTTAGTATAGTATATTAAATTAAACTAAATTAAAAAAGGGTCTCTACTCAACCAGTATGAAACCCCTTCCTAAAATGGTCATACAGTACCGTTTCCGCACATTGGTCAGCGTGGGCAACGGAAAAACACCATTCGCCACGCCCCGACACAAACGCATGATTTTAGCCCTCTTGGTATGCCCTTCTATACCCTAATTTGCCTTGGATTTGAAGGATGAGAACCTTGAATCGAACGCGGTCAAGCTGCATCCATGACTTCAATCTCGGTTGTTGCTTCAGGTTCGTCGTCTTCGTATGCGCTGTCGTTGTCCTGAGAGGGATGGCAACAAGAGGCACACTGAGACATATTGCAAACAAAAATAGTGAAGTGGGTTCAGTGGAATAGGTATGAATAGGTACCCTCAAATGTTACACCCTCAAACTCAAATGCTACACCTTCCACACAGCTTTCAGTCTTCCCAAGAATATCCCGAACTATGATTTTTTTTACAAACACGACCAGGAAGTGCCTTGTGATATATATATATATGGTACCCCCACAAAAAAAAAACAACAACAACAACCTATGTTCACATCACTTTTGCTGGTATTTGCAATATTTTGTGTCTATTTTGGGTTGCCTTTTGATCCTTGTTTTTTTTGGGGGGTACCCCATATATATAAAGAGTGAGCAACACCTTTTCTCTTATTCGCTCTGCAGCAAGATTGTCAAAATCAGTAAAAGTTGGGAACCGAACAAACGAAACTCCCGAGTCGAAAGGTTGTCCCCCCCCCCCTTCTTGGTCAACAACACAGAGAAGGGGGCGTTCCCGGACAATCGTCCCCCCCCAGCCAGGCGGGCCACTCCCCAGACCCTGGCTGGGCCCCGAGGGACACCAGCGTTTGTTTTCCTCCCATTCTTCGCTGGTTTCTTGAAGGTCTGAGTTCTTCTTCCACGTCCCCCTAGGCCTCGTTTCGAGGACTGCCTGTTGCTTGGCAACGGCTCAAGTGTTTCAAAATTTCTAGGGGTAGCGTTGAGAAAAAAGCAACGAAAGGGTGCAAGAGTCTTCTCAAGAGGTTCTAGGTGCAACTCTGCCAAAATGGCTCTGGATTCGTTCAAATACATCCTAGCGGTTTTTTGCGCTTGCCAGCGCCCAAGGATCATGACACGGTCAAGATTGCCATGCTGGCAAAACCACCATGTCGCCCCCCCCGCCTACGGGAGTAGGGTCTCAGTTCCAGGTGCTCTAGCTTGAGACTTTCTATACAAGTCTTGAAAAGTTTGCGCCACCGGGGTGGCGAAGGACAAAGCTTTTGGTGACTAGACGCTAACTGTGTCCAGTGTTGTACATACCGAAAGGCGGTGTCGTGGCTAACAGAGACGCTCTCCTGGACACCTGCTCTCTTACCTGCCTTGGTCAACTTCAGGGACACCACTGCTGTGCGGAGCTTTGCTGAAATCTCGATTCGGCTACGGTTTACGTCCAACAACTCACCCGTTCTTAAAATTCTGTAAAAGCAGAGCAACAAACTCGTGGCAAAGGCAAAATGGCCATTGTACAGGCTCCATCCGACCATGCTTTGCAAGACCAATTCCGGCACGGGCGGTGCTCGGTTTGGCAGTTCATGGGTAACCCACGTTTTCACTAAACGCCAAGCACCAGGGAGATGCCCCCGCAATTTGGCATCATAGTCTTGCAAAGATGCTAAGGTATCGGCGGCCAGTCCACGCCCTTCCCCCGAGAGCCAGAGATGTTCTATGTACTCCATGACTAGAGTATCTAGCTGCTCACGCCTACTCGGAAGCCTCAGGCCTTCGGCCTTGAGGAAGGAGAGAAATTTGTTCAGGGCTTTCTCATATCGCAATCGTGTGGAGGGTTGCACGGTCAGCTGCTTCAAACTGCCTAACTTCTGCCTATCCTGTGCTCTTCTAGCCTGTGTACTTCCTTCAAAGACGACCTTTGGCATGGCGAAATTTAGTGCGCACTGCCCACCGAGACGGACGATCCGCAAGGTTAAGGTCAGTGCTTATACATATCCCCAAAGTCCTACGGCTAGCAAGAGCGAGTTGATTCGGCAGAGGGTCCTTCTCAGGCGGCGGCTTGAAGTTCTTCCACGTGTCATGCTGTGTAGGCATACCAGTGAGTCTGTAAGGTGTAGTATGCGACAATCGTGCTCCTGAACGTGCTCTAATCTCCATCGGAGGCATGCCAAACATGCTCGCAATTCCAGGGAATTTATGTGTTCTCCCCGTCCTGTCCATTTCCATCCTGAGATGACTCTCCATCTCCACATCTTCGGGTTGACCGTGCGACGAAGGCGTTGATGGCTCTGAACCTCATCCGGCGTGCTGATGAGCATGATGTCCGCGCCCTTTGTAGATACCAACCGACCCAGTTTCTCTACCAGGGTGGCCTCCGAGCTCCCCGACAGGCCCTGATCTGTACTCAGGGGTGGCCGCATCAACCTTGAGGGACATCACCTGCTCAGGGGTCAGTTGAGGGCCTAACCCCCTCGGTCCAACCAATTGTCCAATGAGCCACGCTACTACTGGCGTACTCTGCCGACTTCCGCTGCCCTTTCGGCAAGCACATCTGTGTGTAGCCTACTGGCAGCCCCATCATGTACTCCCTCTCAGCGATGTTTGGAATGCGGAGCACCCCTGCTCTGTTGGTCAAGCAGTGGCGGGGCAAATATTGATATGGTGGAAACCTGTGACTGTCCATTTTTTTGAGCGGCGAACAGTGTCCTCATCACAATGTTGCAATCCTGCAGGTCGATGTCCACGAGTGGTGCGCGGTCGTGAGGTAGTGAAAGTAGGGAAAGCCTGGGTAGGATCAACCTTGTGAGGTAGTGAAAGTAGGGAAAGCCTGGGTAGGATCAACCTTGGTCCACCCTCTCTGCACACTCTTCTCCCAGGGTGACTCCCCGATCAACACAAGCTCCCTTTTAGAACGGTCGATGAGGTCATCGTTGTGGTCAAGCTCCCAGGTTATCCAGTACAACCTTGGCCGATTGCACCAGGTCAGGGTCCCCGCGTCACACCGCCATGGGTCCTCCCCGAACGAGCTCGACATGATCATCTTGTCGGCGTCATCCATGGATGCGACACTCTCCATCAGCGTCTGAACCTGTGCCCAGACCAAATGCTTTCGCACCAACTCCTGAACCCTCGGATCCTGACATGGGTGAAGAGACCTGAGCGCTCATCTCGCAATGCTCCCTTGCGCTGGCTGTTTAACCCGGATACTCCCTGGCACGGTGGTCCCGCACCGATGAGCACCATTTCCACTTGCCCATAGGTCAACGACCACGAGACGACGTCCTTTTCTGCGATCTCGACAATGTCATGGTAATGTAAGTTCCTGGAAAATGATGCTCCACAACTCGACGTGCACTTGCGTCCTTCTCCACTGATATGTGCCCTGCGACGTCACATCCAAGAAGGTCAAGCGCCACACGCAGGCTACCTATTCCATCAAACAACCCGATGCTCAGGATGCGTCCGCCCCGATTTGCTTGCATTTCACCTACTGCTCCTCCTGAGGCCACCTGCTCTCCGAACTTTGTCAAACCGGTGGAAGCGCAAACGCCTCCACCATGTTCCAATGCGTCGCTACAAGTGACAAGCGGTTGCAGGTTCATGCGGAAGGTCATCCGACAAAGAGGGACCAAGCAAAGGAAACGACGGATCTCCAATTTTACCCCCTTGGGTATTGGAAGTCGATGGCGACCACGGACGTTGAAGGATTCAATGAAGGTCCAACACGCGTTGAGTCCTCCCAATAGCTGACGTCGGAATGTTGAGAAATACACGAGACCACCACAAACCACCTGCATCTGCCGTTGTGTGGCCATGTTTTCCTCCATGAGCTGGTGGGCCATCGTGACATACTTTGACAACTTCTGCCCCTTAGGGTAGGCCAATCCCCGAAAACCATCAACAACGGCTCCCTGTACTTCAGCAACAGTCTGCCGACTGACCGCCTTTCCGGGATGACGCGGAAGCCCCCATGCCAAGTATTCTTCCCTTAGCGCCATCACCTCAGGGGCCACCTCCCCCGCTTCTTCCAACAATGTCTCACTGGGATATTTCTCTAGGAGATCATAGTTGTCTAAGTAGACCCGCCATACTGTCTGTCCATCTGGCAGCACTCTATCTTTTCGGATTTCACATTTTTCCGTGTTGCGGGTTGAGTTGTGATGTTGAGAGCGCAATACTAATGTACGGTGTACATGTTGTGCAATGCCCACGCTGTTCAGGAATCCCATTGGCAAGACCTTTGAACAGGGATAGCAAACCTCTCCCCGCATTTCTGGCGGTACAAGAGCTGGAGGAAGAGGTTTGTTGAAGCACAAAAAGGGGTACCAACAGGGTGGAAGAGCAAGAGTGTAGAAGAAACACCGCAGATCTTCACTTGAGATTACCAGGTTCTCATGAGGCTCAATGTGGAAAGGTGACATACCAAACCAATGAGGCAGGGTTTGAATGTCCCCGGCCATTCCCTGGCAGAGGTCGTTCAGCGGCACGAGGTTCATAATAAGGCGGTAGATGGGTACCCCTTGTGCCGCCTCGGCTTCTCGACTCCAAAAAGGCCGTTGAACAGCATTTTGGATTTTACCCTGAAAACCCTGACTCTGGAACCACCCCGAAAATACCTGCATCCATCAACCCCTGGGCAACACTGAACCAGTCATCGTCCTTGACCATAACCCGCGACTTCCGCAGGGGACCCCATTCGTTTGGGGTTTTAAGAAGGATGGAAAGTTCTCCACGTAGTGCTTGCACCCCTGTTCACAAATATCAACCAGCTTTGCCACCCCAATCTCCTTGGGCAAGGTGGGCCTAATGTTGTCCCAACGAAACGGCAAGGCAGTCTTCACCTCGTCTCGCTTGTAATCGATCGTACGCGTCCGGAAAAAGTCACCCCAATCGAATCTCTCGGTCACCTCTCGAATGTCCTTCAGTCGAGTCACCTCCTTCACCAAGCCCCGGACGATGCGGGCCTGCATTTCTGAAACCGCTGATGCACCTTCTGCTGGGCCATGGTCCTGGGCCACGGCTGTCGAGCACCCCGATAACGAATTCAATGCCATGCAAACTGCACACAACCAATCAACTGTCCATGCTTCATCTGATGATAAAAGAGGGGTCAAAAGCTCACGACGAGTCGGAAGAGGAAATGTACAAGAGGGCTTGCGTTGCTCCCCTCTCGGTTCAACCCCTTCCGTGGGCTGGCTGCAGAGCGATAGAGACCCCCGCAAGCTCTGACCCAAAAAAGCTCCCATCTCCCATAGCTGCTTGCCAATCACACCTTTTTGTGAACCATCAAGGTCCGAGGGAGTGCACCCCGCATCCATCAAGGATCCATCCGGCTTCAATGGAATTCTGTCACCCGTCAAGCCAGACGATTTCCCTTTGGGAAAATTGCTGCCGTATCACCATACAGGGCAATGAGCCCCGTTCTCGTTGTACCTGCGTATGGCCCTTTTGGCCCATCTCCAGCATGCGTCTGCTCCTTGAAACTAGCGCCACACACTGTCATAGCATCTGTACTCAAACTCGTAGGGCACGAGTTCGCCATCTCTATATCTGTCCGCTCAGGGCACTCCCACCCCGCACCATTCTCATCTATAGCCGTCTCATCCTCTGCAGTCTCAACAGGGCACGCCCGCCCCGATGAAGGCTTCAGAAGCTCCAAGGCAGCTAATCCTTCTTTGGCTTCTCCTTTCCCTTCTTCCCTTTGCCTTTTCCCTTGTCGCCTTTCTCCGACTTGCCGTTGTCCTTCCCGCTGCCTTTGTTCCACCACGATCCTGCCTGGTGGGCTTGCGCCTCGGCCCTCTGCTCTGTGGTGGCAATCTTCAACTCTTGCCTTGACGAAAGCGTGGCCGTCTCGCTGGCGAGGAGTTCCAGGCGTTGAGCTGATGTCCACGCTAAGCCGCTTGCTTGCGCTTCTAGCGACTTCACCCGTTGGATGAGGGTGTCCATCGCATCCGGCAATAGCCCACGAAGGATCAAGTCGCCCACCGTGCACAAGGTGTGCAATTCCCTGTTCATAGGTCCTGAGACCTTGCGACTCAGCATCTGGCGGTAGTACCGCAGTAAAGTGGGCACCCATCCCTCGTGCTGGCTGGTCTGTTGTCCGGCTTCGGTGAGGATCAACTCCTGCATGTCTTCGATGGCCTGGGCTGAGAGCACACCAGGGAAGTTCAACGCCACTGCTCTGACGCGTTGATGCTCCCCGAAAATTGTTTGGCCTTTGAGGCCAGCACCATCGCCGCTCGAGCTGCTCTTGCTGTCCTCCTTCTTTGAACGATGCCTCTGTGCATACCTCTGTGCCTTCCGGCGCTGGCGGTTGCGCGCCTTTTTCATAGGGTCCAGTCCGCTGTGGGCGAACATCCTCTTCTGATCGACCGGGGTGTACGCGGTTGAAGAGCTCGTGCTTGATGAAGAACTGCTCCTGGCAGGGCTCCGTGCCCCGATCTCTCCGGCCGACCTCTTCTCCTTGTCGCCTCCTCTTCGTCTCGACCTGCTCGAACGGCTCCTCTTCCTCCTTTTGCTGTCTGGTGACCGTGACCTCTTCCTGCTCCTCTGGCGCTTCTTCTTCTTTGTCTTTTTCTTGTCCTTCTTCTTGCCATCGTCCTTCTCGCCTTTCGAAGCTGTCGCACCTCCATCTCCGCCGACAACTCCGGGAAGCGCTTCCATTCGGCTCCTCAGGCCGGCCAACTCGTCCCCGTCGCGAGGACTCGCGCTGACCAGGACATCGCGCCACGGCATTCCATCCAGGTCCTCCAATGACCCGATTACCCGGTACTTCTTGCAGTGTAGCAAACCCGGCCCCACAGCTTCTTGACTGCACTCTGCGGGGCACACATGAACTCGGGCCGAATGGGTTGAACCGGCCGCCCATGTCAGCAGGGACTCTAGATTCGTGCCGAGGAGCTTGAGAACGATGTACATCCCCGAT